GAAACCAGTCCTTCATTAGATAATGTGTTTTGTAAAGATTTACTCCCACTCTGTGGCTTGAGTTTTATTTTTGTGAAAGGTATAAGGCCTGTGTCTAGATTCATTTTTTTACATGTGGATATCCACTGTTTGTTCCAGCATCACTTATTAAAAATACTATCCTTTCTCCATTGAATTGCCTTTTCTCCTTTATCAAAGACAAGTTAACTACCTGGGTCTATTTCTGGGCTCTCTGTTCTGCTCCACTGATTTGTTTGTGTATTTGTCCATTCTTTCACCAATACCACAATCTTGATTCCTGTAGCTTGACAGTAAGTCTTGTAGGCAGGTAGTGTCTGTCCTCCAACTTTGTTCTTCTCCTTCAATATCATGTTGGCTACCCTGGGTCTTTTGTGTCTCCATATAAACTGTTAGAATCACTTTGTCAATAACCATAAAATAACTTCTCGGGATTGAATTGACTCTGTAGATCAAGTTGGGAAAAACCAAAATCTTGACAATACTGAGTCTCCCTATATATGAACATAAAATATCACTTCATTTATTTATATTTAGTTCTATGATTTCTTTCATCAGATCTTATGTTTTATTAGATATATACCTAAGTATTTAATTTTTTGGTACTAATGTGTTATTGTGTTTTTAAAGTTCTAACCATTCATTGCTGGTATACTGATATTGGTAATTCGTGTCTTCTATTTCCTTAACCTAGTTAGAGGTTTATCAATTTTGTTGATCATTTCAAAGAACCAGCTTTCAGTTTCATTGATTTTCTCTATTGATTTCCTGGTTTGAATTTCATTGATTTGTGTTCTAATTTTTGTTATTTTCTTCTGCTTATTTTGTGTTTTATTTGCCATTCCTTTTCTAGTTTCTTAAAGTGGAAGCTTCAATTACCAATTTTAGATCTTTCATTCAATGCTATACACTTCTTGCTAAGCATGGCTTCCACTTCAGCCCACAAACTTTGTGTTGTATTTTCATTTCATTTAGTTTAAAATTTATTTAAATCTCTCTTGAGAATTCTTCTTTAGCCCATGTATTATTTACAAGTGTGTTAAATCTCCAAATGTTTTTTTGAGGGTTTCCAGGTATCTTTCTGTTTTTGATTTCTAGTTTAATTCCATTGTGGTCTGAGAGCATATTGTGTATGGCTTATCTTTTTTTAAATTTGGTAAGGTGTTTTTTATGGCTCAGAATGTGTTCTATCATAGTGAATATTCTCCATGAACTTGAGAAAAATGCGTATTCTGCTATATTTAGAATATGAAGTATTCTACAGATATCAATTAGATCTTGTTGATAGTGTTACACAGTTCAACTATGTCCTTACTAATTTTTTGACTACTGGGTCTGTTAATTACTGATAGATTTTGAATTTTTTAACTGTATTAGTGGATTTATCTATTTTTCCTGCAATTCTATCAGTTTTTGCCGTATGCATGTTGATGCTCTCTTGTTAGGTGCACATGCATTTAGGACTGTTATCTTTCTTGAATAATTGACCTTTTCATCATTTTGTAATGTCCCTTTTTATCCCTGACAATTCTTGCTTTGAAGTCTTCTTTAAATTAATTTGGTTACTCTAGCTTTCTTTTAATTAGTGTTAGCTTGCCGTTTCTTTCTCCATCTCTTTATACTTAAAATGGGTTTCTTATAGACTGCATATAGGTTTTTAAATATTTCACTCCCTTCTTCCTGCTTGCATGATTTCTGAAGAGAGGTCTGATATATTTCTTATCCTTGTTCCTCTACACGTAAGATTTTTTTCTTTCTGGCTTCTTTCAAGATTTTCTCTTTGCCCTTGATTTTCTGCAGTTTGAATACAATATACCTAGGTGAAGATTTTTTGATATTTAATCTGCTTGGTGATCTCTGACCTTCCTGATTTGTAGTTTGGTGTCTGTCGTTAATTTTTGGAAATTTTCAGCCATAATTACTTAACACAATCTCTTTCTTTTCATGCTGATATTCTCATTGCACATATATTACATTAAAAAAATTGTCCCACAGTTCTTGGATATTCTGTTTTCATTCTTTTTTCTCTCTGCATTTCAGTTTTAGGAGTTCCTATTGACATTGCTTCAAGCACACAGATTCTTTTCTTGGCCATGTTCAGTCTTTTCATGAGCCCATGAAAGGCATTTTTCATTTCTGTTACACTGTCTCTGATTTCTAGTACTCCCTTTTGATTTTTTTTCTTAGTGTTTCCATCTGTCTGCTTATATTACCCCCCGTTTCCTGCATGTTGTCACTTTTCCCATTATAGCCCTTAGGATACTAACCATAGTTGTTTTAAATTTCCAGTCTTATATGCATCACATCTGATGCTTGCTCTATCTTTTCAAACTGTGTTTGTTTTTTTTTTAATATGCAGTATAATTTCTTGTTGAAAAATGGAAATGATGTAGTAGGTAAAAGGAACTGAGGTAAATAGTGTGAGGCTTTATGTTTACCTGGCTACGAGCTGGACTGTGTTTACTGTCTGCTGCAGCTGTGGGTGTCACAGGCTAAAATCCCCTCTGGTGTCCTGGTTTTGTCTCCCTTTGTTGTCTTTGGGATTCCCTATATACCTCTTCCTTAATAAACCCAAAGATGAGCATTTCTTCCAATTGTAAGCCCATTATTATATGGGCACCTTGTTGATGTGGTGGTAAGGTAGGTGTGGGGGAGAAGAGTTCCACAGTCCTATGATAAGGTCTTGGTCTTTTACTGAGCTTCTCCCTCTGTGCTGTGACCTTCTCACACTTTTTTCTCCTCCTCAGGTGAGAGGAGTAAAGCTGGGGGGGGCGGGGGCTGGAGTTGGGTATTTGCTTTCCCCCTGGTCAGTCAGGCTCTGATAATAATCCAGCAGTTTAGGGTCTGGTAAAACAATTTCCCTTGAGGGATGGCATTCCTAGGAAGAACAGAGTGTGTCAGTGTATTTCAAAATGGCTACTTTCCCCTCCCTCTGCTAAAAGTATGGGAGAATTTTTAGAAATCTTCACGGTGAGGTTCTTCTAGGGCTCCTGGAGGTAAAATTCACACAAGTGTGGAGTCCTCTTAAGAATGGGCTCCTATTAGAGTTTTTAATTCTCAGGTTTGTCCACACTGAGCCTTTGGCAAATCTTCAATTATAGTTTAAGTTCTCCTACTCTGCTATTGGCTCCTACTGTGGTTTCTACTCCTGAGACCCTGATCTGGTAATCTGCAACTCTCTGTATCTGTCTGTCTCCAGTTTGTGGGCAGCGGTTTGCTCTGTGACTTCAGTTCTCTGAGGGATTTAAAAAGAGTTGATGACTTTGAGTCAGTTCGGCCTTTTCCTTGTTAGGAGGATGGGAGTGATGACTTTCAAACTCCTTACATGCCAGGCTAGATCAAAATCATTTTAAAATATAACACTTGAAGACTTATTATAATAATCTTATTTAGCTGTAAAATTTTCATTGTTCATTCCTATTTCTTCCCAGTTCTCATCTCTCTATTGCTCCCATTTAGCCACACTTCAAGAACACAGGAGAGCGGCGGGTTCCAGAAGAGAGGCTGACATTCCAATGAAGTGTCATTACCTGGTAACATGGGAGCAAGGCCTCCGAAGAGACTAGTTAGAGAAGACATGCACAGAGTTTACAAGCTGTTTACCAAAATGTTTGCTTCCCTCACTACAATGGCTTTAATTTAAACTGACTATATGAACTTGCCTTCATTTGCAATCCTTTGAATTATCCAGCCAACAATTTGATCACAGCTTTAATAAGCCCACTCACATTGTTACTTCAGAGTTGGGATCAGCTTGGTATTTTTACTTGAACAGCATAAAAGGATCGTCCCTTAACTTAAATGTGAAACCATTTGGGTTGCTTTGCTATTTAAGACACTAGAGAAATCTCTTTCCTCAAATACAAAATAGTAAGGGAAAAAAATTTAAACTAGAAACTATAAACAAGAAGTTAAAAATGAAAATTTCATGGTTATTTTAGACATGTCTTTAATAAGCATTCTCCCTGGAGTGAGGTGGGAGAATCTAAGTTACTGTGAATCTGTGCAGTGTGTTCTCTTGGCATGAAGACAGAATTAACTGTCTTGATTCCTGGTTTTAAAAAACATATATGGATATACACACATGGGTGTGTGTATTAAATCAAGTTGCCTAAGAGAGATTATTATGACAAACCCAAACAGAGTATATCTTTTAATTTTCTTCTAAATGTTTTAGGATATAGACACACAAAGACACTGTTTACTTTTATGACTGGCCCAGTATTAGCTAATCTCAGTAAACTGTGGGTTTACAAAATATAGCAAATCCCTATCTTTTCACCTCCTTAGCAAGATTAATTTCTAATTCAAACAACACATACTAGTCTCTAGTAGGGGGGTTTGCTTATATTCATAGAATTCACAAAACAGATTTGAATAAGTATTAAGCTTATATGAAGCTGAATATGGCAAAAATCCCATTAACGTGGCCAACCATATATGAACAATGTGAACAACTCAGAAGCAAAATTTTATTTTGCAATACACCTATTTTTGTGATTATGAATATATGGCCTCATCGACAGCTGCTCTTTTTTAGAAATTAATAAACTATCTACTGTACAAACCCATATACCTGGGGCTACAATGAAACCAGCGAACCTAATGTATGTTCTTCATGTATGCCAATATGTTTTCACTTGTCCAAATGATTAAGTAAAAGCCCAGAGCACTCATATGAAAACAGGCCCATCATAACTTTGGTACAATTACTGCAGCAGCAATAAAACTATAACATATACACAACCTTATACAGATGTGTCTTAAATGGATGAAGAAAAATAACAATATAATTTATTTAAAAAAAACTCCAAAGATACTTTTCTTGATTAAATCTGTGACCACTTCATTTTTTCTGCCTCCTTAAAAGATTCTCAGAGTTGATCTGTGAGGCCTCTTCCTTTGGTTATATTTACTCTGTCCCATGATGTCACATGCTCATTAACTGCATGAACAGTTCAGCTCACATACATGGAACATTAAAAAAAAAAAAGAAAAGAAAGAATCTATTATCAGAAAAGCAGTATGTTCAGGATTCTAAGGAAATCCACAGAAAATGTCCCACTTAGAACATATTTTCTTTCTCCTAAAATAAACTTAACGAGGCAAAATGTTTGCATGAAAACAAACAACACAAAAGCACAACTCTTGGAGGAAAAAAATCTGATATTTACCAACAGTTTGGGGGGGAAGTGAGATGTGAACACTTAAATGATGCAGTCCATAACATGGATCTGGAGTGTGTCTATGTCGGGCAGAACTTCTCCACATTTGGGGCAGGAATGAATTGGAATATTCCGCTGTTGCTGCTGCCGCCAGTTTCTGTCCTCAGCTCCTGGGAATAAGCATTAAATGAAACGCTATTCCAGTTCTTCCACGTTGCAAGTGGCTTCGTTTGTTTGATTTTAATAACAAATGATTAATATTAACACCTACTCAACTTTGCAACAGATACCTAAAGGGGAGTGAATACAGGGTTTGTTTGGGAGGGAGGGGGTCTTTAACTTAAGAAATCTACACACACAGAGAAAACCTTCCAAAATGGTACCCGCTTTCCTATTACTTTGGGATTTGGGCTCCAGTCCGGGTTGTAGGTACATGAAAATAGAGTGGTTTCAGTTCTAGGTACAGGACAACACGTGCTCTAATAAAAACAAGAATATTTGAGAGAAGGAACCAGATAGATGAAGATATGAGCTACAGAAGGTGGAGAAAACAGTAAGCAGCAACAGAGAGATATCCTAAGAACAGTGTGAACTTCTCAGAAGCAGAGACAATAACTACATTCACTTGGCCCATGTGTCCGAGCACCCGGGAGGTGGACAAGAGGGGTACAGAGATGGTGGGGACTTCAGGCGAGAAAAGCAACATCAGGAATGCGTGAGGGACGGGCTATCCTGTGTCATGCACAAGGCACGTTAGTAGGAGGACAAAGAAGGGCGCCCTGATGAGACCCATTGCACTTGAGAGTAGTTTTAAGGCATAGGTAAGGGCTGCCCAGGCAAAGCAAGTGATGAGAAAGAATGGAAGAATGGGTCATGTCATTTCGTCCAATTTTGGAACTGCACCGAGGGTCAAGTCTGAATTAAAGAATGCCCGAAATAAGCCTTGACTCTAAGTAGGTCCCACATGTGCAAACTGTGATCAATGCTGGAAATGACTTCTGGCTCCCGGGACATCTCCTTGGTCTGACCTTTCTGGATCAACACAAATCATTTTGATCTCAAGACTTTCTGTCAGTCTCCAGAATGTTTGTTTTTGGAGGCTGACAGTGGAGGCAACAGTTAACATGGCTTTTGGCTTCTGAGCATATTATTTTAATTGAATAATATGTGAGACTATTGCAGATAGTTTGTGTTCAGCAAACTCCAGAAGCACCCTTGAACAGAAATACCAACAGGGTATGAGTTCTGAAAGTGGGGGACTTCCTAATGGTCCCATGGTCCTAGATCAGGAGTCAGGAGTCAGTCAGCTTTTTCTGCTCTAGATGACAACCAGGCACTACCAGGGACTGCTGATTCTTCATCTGAGACCTTCTTGCATCCATCTGTGTCTTTTTTTTTTTTTTTTTGGTCCTGGTCTAGGTTTCGAGACTTGGGCTGTTCTGTTAGTCGGTTAATGGGTTCCCTCCCGGCTCTCTGCTATAAAATAAGCTTAGTCAGTTTTCATTGTTAACATATCACACTCCTCTCCACCCTGGGCCCTTTATTCTCATACCATACTTATGTAAATCCTAGCTTCAAGGTCAAGCTTAAAGTCACACCTTTTCAAGGCCTTTCTCAACTTCCCTGGCCCTCAGTGATCAACCTGTCCACTGACCTTCAGCACCATTATTTCTATTACTTAAATATTATCCTGTTTTATGAACCCACCCTTTTATGTGACCCTCCTGTCTCTCCAACCAGGCCACAAGCCACCACAGACCTGACCATGCCTTGTGCTCAGCTGAGTGTCATGGACCAGGGCAGGTGCACTGATGGCCACAGGTGACCATAATGATGAAATACAGTCAAGAGGAGATACTGTTTAAGGCAGCTTTGTTATGAAGCTAAAAAAATTATAATAATAAAAATAAAATAAGAATCTTAAGACAGTCTCTGTTTGGAATACTGCTATTTACAAGACAAAAAGCTTATTGGGATAATCATGAATAAATGTGTACTTTGTGATGATTTTTGGATTATAAATATAAGTAGAAGAGTATGTGACTGTTTTGTTTTTTTTTTAACATAAATAGGCATTTGCCTTCTTTGATTATGATAAAAGAAAATCTTCCTCTAAGAAATTCAGGTGCAGGGGTGCCTGGGTGGCTCAGTCGTTAAGCATCTGCCTTCGGCTCAGGTCATGATCCCAGGGTCCTGGGGCCAAGCCCCGCATCGGGCTCCCTGCTCAGCGGGAAGCCTGCTTCTCCCTCTCCCACTCCCCCTGCTTGTGTTCCTGCTCTCGCTCGCTCTCTCTGTCAAATAAAAAATAAATAAAATCTTTGGGGCGCCTGGGTGGCTCAGTCATTTAGCGTCTGCCTTCGGCTCAGGTTGTGGTCCCAGGGTCCTGGGATGGAGTCCCGAATCAGGCTCCTTGCTTAGTGAGGAGCCTGCTTCTCCCTCTGCCTGCCACCCCCTCTGCTTGTGTGCGCTCTCTCTCTCACTCTCTCATTCTCTCTGATAAATAAATAAATCTTAATAAAATCTTCAAAAAAAAAAAAGACATTCAGGTGCAAGAGATTGTCCTTTTGGACCCAAAACACTGTTGCAGGCACTTTTGATAACAGAGGTAAATGGGTGTTTCTGGGATACTTAAAATCAGATTAGAAAAAATGTCTGGTGGTGTTCAAGTGGGTAGACACAGCTTTTGGGGAAGAACACAGCTTTACCCTGTGACACTAAACATGCCTGAGGCCAATGTTCATGTCAGTCCACAGTAAACTCAGTAAATGCTAACATTGTTAGGTGCGTAACACCAGGTAATGGACAGCTTCATTAATATGGTACTTAGATGCATATTAAGAACACATAAGTAATTATAAAATAAAATAGCAGATGAGTACTACAAGAGTAAGAGAGTACTTGAGAAATTCAGGAGGGAGAGGTCATATTCTGCTGGAATCATGGAGATGGTATTTCAAATGGGTTTTACAGATGGAGTAGGAGTTCACTGGAAAGAGACAGAAGGGAGGCAGGGAGGTGAGTGAGGGAAGGATGCCTCGTAAGTAAGTACATGCAGGTATACAGGCCTAGGGGAAGTTCAAGGAACAGGGAGTGATTCAGCTGGCTAATAGCTGTAGAGAATTAGAGGGGGAAAGGTTAAAAGTTTAGCTACACCAGGCCTTCACTGTCAGCATGAAGAGAGTCTGGTGTCTGGATTCAGTTGGTAATGGATGAAGAATAGGGTACACTGGAAATAACTGAGGGGTGCCATATTTTTCGCAGTTTGATCTGGAATTCATTGTGTAGCATGTAGTGAAATTTGCCTTCAAGCATTTTCTTCACAGGATAGTTATTCCCTGGAACCCTGAACACCTACAATCACACGGGACTCACCTCTCTGAACGAGGTAGGCCTGCTGGTCGGGGTCACTGGTTCTCGCCCCATGACGGCTCTGCATCTCCATCAAGGACTGCCTGCTGGGATGAAAAGCAACACGATAGTGATGTTCTAATGCTCTGAATACGACAACATTTAGCAGACATTCAACAGCAGGATGGGGAAAAAAAGAGCTGAAAAAATGCAAGGTTCATAAAAACCAGAACTTAAGGATTAACTTGAATTTTAAATATTATTGGCACTAGGACACAGAGTAGTGAAAGAAACTAACAATTAGGATTAAAAAAATCAATCGGTAAATAACCACACTGTCAACTGATAAGGAATGGATTAGAAAAAAGTGGCATATTTCTAGAACAAAACATTATGGAGCAATTAAGGAGAATGAAATAAAACTACATATATATATATATATATATATACACACACACACACACACACCTCCAGAGTTCAAAATCACAGTGTTAAAGTCAGCTGCAGAACAATACCTAGTGACCATTTTGTAACTTACACACAGAGAAACTAATATTATGTTGTTTCAAGATATGACAAAGATATTATATCAATACTCTGTAAAAGTATAGAACAGATGGGGATGTTACCCCCTCCAAACTCCAGGCAGTATGGGGCAAAGAGAGAGAAACATAATGAGAGGTGGGGAACAGAGGAGGCTCCAACTTCGCCCTTTTTCCTTTTGAAAAAATATCCATGATGCAAATAAATGTATGCCACTGTCAATTCTGTGTGGAGTACATCGTGGTATGTGCTATTTTATTCCCTGTATTTTTCTATTTCTATTTCTCTATGTTTCAAATTTTTCTCAAAATGGAAATCTAGAAGACAGAAGTAATTTTAGCCATATTTTCTTTTAAAACACATTACAGAATTGTTTAAAGTGTTTAAGACTACATATCCCTGACAACAGCAGGACAGGACTTTGGAACACACAAGGTCAAAGTTTTTACAGCATGTCCAAGAGCAAAGAACTCATCACATTCCCACAAGATGTGACCAAGCCTCGTGGTAAGTCACGCTGAGTGTCAGGGACACAATCAAGCGAAGTGTGCTCAGCGTTGATTCCTACAGCTCAACTTAGGGAGCACCTCTGACAGATCCCCTGTGCTTGGCCTGTGCCCAGGGCTCCAGGTGTGTGCTCTGAGCCTTCCCGAGCCTTCCTAAGCCTCACCTGCCTCCATCTTCAAAAGCATTATTCTCTTTCAGCAGGATTGCCAGCTGCAGGGCCAGTTGCTCCTTTTCTTCATGTATCTTCTCTCTTGCTGCTCTTTCAGCATGAAAGTCCGAACAGTAAACCTCCATCTGGTAGAAGGGAAGAGAGACAGAAGTTACTACACAGATGTACGTGGATTCTTTACGGCCCAATGGGTGACAGGGCGCGGGGGAGTGCTCCCTCCTGTGATTCCCTCGTAAGGAACAGGGGTGCACAGTCCTGCTGGAAACCAGTGGCGACCGTGACTTCCAACCACCTTCAGACAGAAGACAAGTTGTGTGTGTGTGTGTGTGCGCGCGCGCGCACGCACACACACTTTAGACAATCAGAACCCAACAATGACATTGATATAGGTGGTTTAAACACTGCACGTAATATTCGTTCAGTAAAATTCTCCGGTCTTTTTATTCAGCATTAGCTTAATATAGTAAATGGTTTATTTACTCTGTCAGGTATATTTACGAAGGCTGGCCTTAAATTTTAAATAATAATAATAAATGGATGCTATTCATTGAATTCCAAACATGTACAAGGTCCTACGTTGGATGCCTATATTCCTACCTTAATGCACGTGTTGTAATGAGCACTGGGTGTTATACGCAAACAATGAATCATGGAACACTACATCAAAAACTAACGATGTAATGTATGGTGGCTAACATAATAAAAAAAAAATCCTGGGAATGTAGAATTGCTATGCTCATTTTACATTCACAAGTTTAACAGCTCTCAGTCTGGGGTAATTTAGGTAAGTGGTCAAACCAGCTCTTGAACCAAGAGAGAAGCCCATATTCTATGCCACTCCTCACGGTGGTAGCCAGCCTCCAAGACAGCTCCAGGGATGCTCACCTCTTCGTATTCAAACCCTTATGTGGTCCCCTTCCACAACGAATAGAGCCAACCTGTGGAACCACTAGGATACTGCAGAAATGATGGTGTGTGGCTTCTGCCTTGTTCTCTCCTGGGTCACCTGCTGTGGGGGAAGCTCACTGCCATGTCATGAAGGTACGCAAGCTGCCATGTGGGGAGCCCCACAGGGTGAGGAGCTCAGGCCTCCCGCCCACAGCCCTGTGAGTGAGCCGGCTTGGAAGTGGATCTTCCAGTCCATCTTGAGCGCAGCCTCACGAGGGGCCCTGAGCCAGAAGCACCCTGCTAAGCTGCTCCTGAATGCCCGACCCACAGAAACCCGAAGATGACAAATGCTTGTGGCTGTAGCTGCTAAAATGGAGGATAATTTCTTACCTAGAAATATATAAATATTATGCCGTGAGAGCGATCTCTTCACTGTTACAAAATTCTAAGGTAAAGATGAACTCCTTAATAGTGAAATGAACATTACTCTAAGGCCAGTTTTTAACTTTCTATATTTAAAATTAGGGTTTTCCCCTTAAATTTCGTGGTTCTAGGATACAAATATTTGTCTTTCTCACTTTTGAAAGTAAAATTAAATAAAAACTTAAATATTCTATCACAGTTTTAGTTACCCCCTCCGAAAAACAAACAAATCACACAACTCTGTGATAAAAAGGTCATTTTAAGGGACTTCCTGCCATTTGTGAACATTTTATGTGACCACTGATGCATCACGGGAATTTTTGAGTCAGATCCCAATTTGAGTTACAGTCTTACTTCTATCACTGATCAGCTTTGAGCCAGTCAGACCCGGGTCGTTCTGTCCATTCCTACATGCCCTGTGACACCAGTGGCTCACGTTTCAGGCTCAAAAAGAAGTGGCTGAATGAATAAACCAGAGTATCTATCAAAACTCAACAAATGTCCACGTACAGAAGGACAAAGGACATGACAGCAGTATCATGAGGTACCCGAACAAACGAATGCTATAAAGAGCTTGGGTTGAAATTCTCTTCCTATAGAAATAAAACTCAAGACTCTAAGTCCAGTCAACCACCTCTGGATTTCATATTTGAGTAATGAGTATGTATGTGGTCATTGAGAAATAATAAACTGTTGACTTTGTTATGTTAAAAATAATTTATCTTTACCAGACTGGCAAACATTTAAAAGAATGCTACAAGGAGGTGGGGAAATAGACGTTCTCATCTCCTTCGGTGAGAGGATAATTTTGGTCATGAATTCTTGGAAGACAACTTGTTAATATTTATTTAACTTAAAAACAGGCACACCCAATAACCCAATCATTCCAAGTCTACATCTCACTATAGATTCCACAAGTGCACAGAGACATACATACAAGTTGGTACAACCTATACATCCATTAATAGAGGGCTTGTTAAATCTATCATGGTAATGCACACTTTGGAATACCATACAACTGTTCAAAAAATAACAAATGGCTATGAGTACTAGTACGGAGAGAAGTCCAAGGTACATCATGACTGAAAAGTTATAGTATAAAAGGTATACTGCAATCCCACTTTTAATTAAGCAAACAAACAAAATAACAACAAGAGACAAAGGTTTTCCCCCCTTTTCTGTGGTTTTACATCTCAGGCAGGATGCATTCCCACTGATAAACCTTCTGCAAGTCCTCCACCCACCAGCAGCAAGAGTGGGGCCAACCAGTAACAATAAGCCACGGTACACAAATTCTTCCAGAGTAAAAGAAGGAATGTGCCTCAACTTGTTTTCATGAGGCCAGTAAAACCTTGATCTCAAAACCTCACAACGACATTGGCAAAGGGAAAATTCTAGGCCAATCTTATTCAAGAATATAGATACAAAAGCCCTAAGTAAAAGATGAACAAACCAAATCCAGCAATATGTACGAAGGATAATTCAAGAAATGTAAAGTTTGTTTAATATTTAAAAATCAATGTGATTCACCACTTTAACAAATTAAAGGGAAAAGGAATGTAATTATCCAATTATATCATTACTGGAAGAAAAAAACTTTCCCTAAATAAAGTTCAACATCCACTTGAAATTTTGGCACACAAGGAAGAAAAGGGAATTTCCTTGATTTGATAAGTGATATCTACAAAGCCTATAGCAAACACCATACACTTAGCAGTAAAATGTTAAAATCACTGCCTCTGAGACTGGGAGCAAGGCAAGGCTGTCTGCCATCTGCACTGTTATACAACACTGTATAAGGGACCCAGTCAGTGTAATAAGACAAGAAAAAGAAATAAAACGTAGGAAGAACCAGAAAGGAAAAAACCCAAAACTGTCATTATTTAAATGATATGATTATGATTGTAAAGAGGTCAAAAGAATATTCAGAGATATTATTAAAATTAAAGTGTGAATTGAGCAAGTCTACTGCATACAAAATGAATATATAAAAATCAATTGTATTTCTATATAACAGCAGGTGTTAAAAAATGAAAATTTAAAAAAGGTGCTATTTACAACAGTATCATAAAAATAGAGAGTATCTATGAGTAACCTATTAAAAGATGAGCAAAATCCTTACTAAGAAGATTAAAAATATTACTTAGAAGAAATAAAGAAGATATGCCATGTTCATGCATGGGAAGAGTCACTGTTGTAAAGATGTCAGTTACCTCCAAATTGATTTTTATCTATTTAATATAATTCAAGTCAAAGCTCCAGGAGGTTTTTCTGTGTGTGTGCGTGTGTGTGTCTCTGTGTGTGTGTGTATGTGTGTAAAATACCAAGCGGATGCTAAAATTAAAATGACAATGAAAAAGGGAAAGAAAATCTAAGGTCCTCTTGACAAGCATCAATGAGGTAGGAAGACTTACTCTACCAGGTATCAAAATTTTGGAGCTTCATACTAAGTCAAGACAGTACGGTACCAGAGCAAGCATACAAAAATAGCTCAATGGAACAGTAGAGAGTCCAAAAATAGACCATGGACACCTGAACACAAGATACAACAAAGAAGGCAGCACATTACTTAAGATGACATTTTACATAAATGGTGCCAAGGCAACACGACAAAAAAATAAGACTTCACTCTTACCTCACTCTATAAAGAAAAACTAATTCCAGGTGGTTTCTAGATATTAATGTAAAAGGCAAAACAGCAAAATTTTTAGAAGACAACACGGGAGAGTATCTTCATGGCCTTGAGGTAGTGAAAGTTTTTCAACAGGACACAAAAAGTACTAATTTTAAGTGTAAAGACTGACAATGTAGACTACATTAAAATAAAGAACTTCTGTTCATCAAAAGACACCTTTATGGGCATGAAAAGACAAATCACGGAGCCAAGAAATCTGCAACAAATATAACTGTCAAGGGCTTGTGTCTGGAGTGTATAAAAAACTCATAAAATCAAGACAGCAAACCAGAAGAAAAATGGGCAAAGACGTCTTCAGGCACTTCACAAAAGGGAGCACCAAGAAGGCTAGTTAACACTTGAGAAAGTACTCAGTCTCATTAGTCATCAGGGAAATGCACATTAAATGAGATACCATTATATGCCCACCAGAATGCTTACAAACGAAAGTAAAAATACCGATAATACAAGGATGGGTAAGGATGTCGAGGGACAGGGACTCTGTTGATGGGAGTGAAAACTGGTACAACCACTTTGGAAAAGTGTTGGCAACATCCACTAACACTGAGTAACACGTGTACTCTAGGAACCAGCAATTCCACTGCTAACTGGGTATGCACCCAACAGAAAGGAACGCACAGGCCAAAAGAGAGACACATCCACAAGAATGTCAGAACAACCTCAATCATAATGCCCCAAATGGAAAATAATCCAACTACCTATCAACTGTGGAATGGATACATTCATTGAGCTCTACCCTTAAAAGTTTGGGGCACTTTCCACACATGATATGCTTCAATAAAAAATGTTTTTAAATATATTGGTGGAAATTATATAAAATCCAAAAATATATTTTGAACACCATCACTTTCCCATAGGAGAACGTAATCAGGGTTGGCCTCACCCAGTTCATGTTTCAGAACGTAGCTTACCTGAGCCCGAAGAACAGTCATGGTTTCCAGGTCCTCCTCCTGCTTGGCGATGGTCTGCTTCATCTCATCCATCTGAAGCTGCTTGGAAGCCAGGGCCTTCTCCGCCAGTTCCAGCTTTTCACTTAGTTCTTGCACTACCACCTTATCCACTTTCTCTGACTGAAAGAGACAAGATCATTCTAGAAATGGCTGTGAAATAACTCAACCTAATTTATTTTTTTTTTAAGATTTATTTAAGTGAGAGAGCATGAATGAGCAGGGGTGGGGAGGGGCAGAGGGAGAGGGAGAGTCTCAAGCAGGCCTAACCGACGATGCCCCCCCAGCACCCCTAATTCAACCTATTTTAGTAAAACATTAAACGATGTTTTATTTTTTTAAATCCATGGCTCTAAACTGTTCTGTTAATTAGCAATGATAACTTAAACTCAGAAAGGTTTATTCATTTAACTTATAGTTTGCAAATTATAATTTCTTAATTTAAAACAATTAAAAAAAAACACATTAAAATAAGGGAAATAATGACAAACCATGATCTCAGCGAGGCTGTAACTTGCTGATACCGTTATTTTTCCCACTGATATTACTCTTATATGGTGAAGTCAGTGGAAAAGAAGAAACATGTTTAAATTAAAAATTGATCACCTCACACCTGTCAGAATGACTAGTATCAAAAAGACAACAACAAGTGTTGGCGAGGACGTGCACGAGAAAAAGGAACCCTCGTGCACTCTTGGTGGGAATGCAAACTGGGGCAGCCACTCTGGAGAACAGCATGGAGGGGGCACCCCTGTAGGGAACCCTCTCACTCTTCAGAGCTTTTTCTGTATCTTCACTTAATAAACTTCTATCGCTTTACTCACAAAAAAAAGAAAAAAAGAAAAAAAAAGAAAACAGTATGGAGGTTCCTCAAAAAGTTAAAAATAGAACTACCCTATGATCCGGCAATCCCACTTCCCAGTATTTATCCAGAGAAAATAAAAATACTAATTCAAAAAGATATATTCACTCCTATGTTTATTACAGCAGTATTTACAATAGCTACGTATTTAGCAAGCAACCTAAATGTCCATCAAACAGCTGAATGGATAAAGAAGATGTGATCTATATTTGCACAAACACGCAACACACACACGCACACACACACAGGCAAGAATATGACTCAGCCATAAAAGACTGAAATCTTGCCATTTGTGACAATATGCATGGAACTAGAAGGTACTATGCTAAGTGAAATAAGTCAGAGAAACAGACAAATACCATATGATTTCACTTATGTGGAATCTAAAAAACAAAACAAATGAACAAACAGAAACAAGCTTATAAATACAGAGAATGAACCGGTGGTTGCCAGAGGAGAGGGACATAGGGAGATGAAGGGAATCAAGAGGTATAAACTTCTCGTTATAAAATAAACAAGTCAAGGGATATACAGTACGGCACAGGGAATAGAGCTAACTCTCGAACAATGCAGGGGTCAGAGGCACTGAGCCCCTGCAGAGTCGCAAATCCACATGTAACTTTTGACTCCCCAGAAACTTAACCAGTAACAGCCTATGGTTGACTGGAAGCCTTACCGATAACTTAGTGGATTAACACATATTTTGTATGTTATATGTATTATATACTGTACTCTTACAATAAAGTAAGCTAGAAAAAATGTTATTAAGAAAATCATAAGGAAGAAAAAACACATATAGTCCTGTATTTTAAAAAATCTGCAATATTAAGTGGACCCGTGCAAATCCTTTTTGTTCAAGGGTCGACTCTATAGTAAATACTATTGTAATGACTTTGTATGGTGACAGATAGTAACTACAGTTATGAGCATTTCATAATGTATATAAATATCGGATCACTATGTTGGACACAGAAAACTAATATGACATTGTATGTCAACTCTACTTCAATTAAAAATAAATAAATAATGAAAAAAATTTACAAGTCCTAGAGAGGAACAATATTCTATTAAAAAAAAAAAGAAAGAAAAACAGGGGTGTCTGGGTGGCTCAGTCAGTTAAGCATCTGACTCAGTTAATGATCTCATGGTTGTGGGAGCAAGCCCTGTGTCCTCAGGCTCCACACTCAGCGGGGAGTCTGCTTGAAAGATTCTCTCCCTCTGACCCTCCCCCCGCTTGTGTGCACGTTCTCTCTCTCTCTCAAATAAAACTTAAAAAAAAAGAAAAGAACAAAGAGTACATTTATAAGCATATAAACTCAAAGACCCCTTCTAAATCAAAGCTTCCATGATCTTTACTTACTGATCCCAGCTTTATCCAAGTGAAACTGACAAATTAAATTGTAAGCTATTCAAAGTGAACAATGTGACAATTTGATATGGGTATACAGCGGGAAGGGCTCCCCCCAACCAGGTTAATGAACACGCCTATCACCCCACACATCTACCCATTTTTAAACTGCCACACCATGCTGGTGTTATACTAATGTAAGCTGCAGTGTGGGAGTCCAGGGTCTCAAGGTCACTGACAGGAGCCAGCTAGCCCTGTAACAGCTCCCTGGAGACAACCCCACCAGTGGACACCCACAGTCTCGTACACCCTGCTCATGTGGGAGCCCATGCTGGTAGCTCTCCTATAAACCCACTCGCTGTTAGAAACGCTAAAAGCTGGGGCGCCTGGGTGGCTCTCAGTCGGTTAAGCGTCTGACTCTTGGTTTCGGCTCAGGTCATGATCTCAGAGTCGTAGGACTGAGCCCCGAGTTAGGCTCCATGCTCATCAGGGAGTCTGCCTGAGATTCTCTTTCCCCCTCTCCCTCTGCTCCGCACCACCCTGCCCTTTTTCTCTCTCAAATAATAAATAAATAAATCTTAAAAAAAAAAGAAATGCTAAAAGCTTACTCCCCAACCGTAGGACGTTAGCACCATCTTTGCACACAAGGAACATTATACACAGTTAGAACATCAGAAGTTCTACCCACTTGGACACAAGAAATCAATTATAAACTGAAGAGCAACCTTTGAAACCATACTTAGTTATGGATTAACACAACTACTTTACCTATAAAAAATGTTTATAGTTTCTATGCGCTATGAGGCTACGAAAGTCATTTTTTTTCTATGAATACCTCTTTCCTTTTCAGTTCCTCGAGTGTTTTCAATGAATTATTGTATTCTTGAAGAAGCTTGTTATGTGTCAACTGGAGAGTGGCTAACTTGGACCTATTTAAAAAGAAATTAAGAAATGGAATCTTGGGGGGAAAATATAAAAACTTAGTCTTGCCTTCCCACATCTTCTGAATACTCGACTAGCAAAATCTTCTCTCCTACCTTTACCAGCCCACCACCTGCTAGCATTTTCTTACTCTCAAAGAAAACAATCTTTCCAAAAAAAAAAAAAAAAAATCAAGATAGATTACAAGTAACTTTAATCATTTTGTTATAATAGAACAAATTTTATCTCCTCGGAGAAGTCTCCTGGTACTCCTTCAAATACATAAAAGAGAAAAATTTTAAATTTATTCTTAAATCCTAATTCCAATCTTATAAAAGTGCTCTTCTACCTTCTTCTAGCAAGTGGTCATTCAGTTGTGGCATACTCACTTTTCCTCTTCGGTTTTAGCTTGCTCCATTTTGATTTCTGATCGCATGCTTTCCACTTGTAGCTCCAACTTTTTGTTGTTATAAACAAGCTCTTGCTTTTCATTCAGCTCTGAGGGGGCTGCAGAATTTTTCCTTTCAAGAGCCTGACATCTAGGAAAGATCAAAATTTCATGAGGATAAGGAACGCTCCTTCATTTCTCAGTGGCTTTTAAACCAATCCCAAGATTATGTAGCAAATACAAAGAAATTTTGGATTGCATTTTTCAAGGATTTAATAATGCAAAATAAAATATTTTATCCTTCTTGCTTCTTTACTAGAAGCAAGTAATATTTCTAAACTCTCATGACTAAACACTAAAAAAATACAGATTTTTTTTTTTTTGGAAAAGAAATTTACATATTTTGGAACCCTTATGCCTAATGTAAAAAAACTCCAGATCTAAGACCACACAAGCTATGGAAAAACTGTCTTAAGCAGTCATGCAAGTACATTTTTGTTCTTTAGACACAGACCAAAATAGTAATTGGCTAAAGGTGCTTTCCATATAGTGATCCATGGATATCTTCAATACTTTAAAAAGTTTGGGTTCTGTTAAGCATAAAGAATATGACTTCCGACAAAGATTTAATAAGGGAATAGTAAGTGTCCTAAGTTTTCTTAAATATCAAAAAGAGAATTTCAATATAATAACAGCAAATATGAACCAACGGTTGCTATATGCAAGGCATTAACACCAAGCATGGTAAACATCTCAATACAACGTTATGAAGTAGGGATAATGACACACATTGTACAAATGATAAAAGTAGGGCTCAGAGAGGTTAAATAACTTGCCCAAGGCAATACCACAAATAAATTCAGATCCATAGTTCAACTAAGTCTGTTTGTCCAAAGTCCTTAGCTTTAAGCTGCTGTGCTGTGCCAGATTACCATATCATCGTATAGCGTTGGTAAGTGTGAACTCTAAGGCAACATACACTCATGTATTGTGCTGGATGTATGTTTGCCAACTAATCCAAAAGAGTAACGTTTTTAAATTTCGGGTAACTTGCTACACCAAGAAAAACAAGCAAATGCAAAGTTCTCAATTTAAATATTAGCCTTCATAATTGATTGAAAATGAATTTTTTTCCTCAATAAAGCTCACTCAAGTTCTTTCTCCTTGCAGCTTTCATTTATGTTTGCTTACATCCATACTGTCAGTTCAGGTTAAGTCCCAGGAAATCTGGCTTACTGCTTTTTTACAGGTCCTCACATAGGCTACAGTATGTGTAACAAACATCCCTGAACAGCAGAATCAGATTTTCCTGGGCCCCATTCCCCCATATTACAAGTATGTTATATTTATATATGAACATGTACATTAATCTCGCTGTTAATGTTTGCTGAATTCATACTTTAATTAGGTTTCTATTTTTCTTCTAGTAAGATAACAAAACTATGTTTTTACATAGTAATAGATTTCTTAAAAATGTCCACTTTCTAAGGGAAAATAGAATTCATGTATCATTCTTACTTCTCTTGAAGTCTCTTCTTCATCAGCTCAGCCTCACTGAGTTTTGTATGAGCCTCTTGAAGCTCCTTAAATAGAGTTGTCACCTGAAGGTTCAACGTCTCCACTTCACTTCCAACCTGTCATTCAGGAAATCCCAAACACGCACATGTGATTCGGGTCAGAGATTAAAAGAACTTCTTTGTGAGAAGACAGTGCGAACCATCAGTGTCCCACTAAGACTGGGGAGCTGATTAAACTTTTGACAATGCCGTAGATATCTTCCAAGAAAAGAAATGTTTCAGATACAACTGTTTCCTTGTATGTCTACATTTACTAATTATATATAACATTTTATATTCATGATATGTAATTTATATGTATAATCACTAATTCATATGGCAATATTTATATATAAAACTGTTTTTCTTACATAACTCATCAATTTGGATACACTGTGATAATGACTTTATTATAAATTTTTTTTTCCTTGTAGACATGTGTGGAGTTTATTTAAAGGGAAGAAGAACTGTCTCCTTTTTGATTTTGGCAACCCAAGAACATCCCCTCTTAAGACTTATAGGGGCCAAAATTCACACAAACATTCCCAGATGTTAAGGTTTTAGGTTTTGCTAGTTTCTGCTCACCCTTTATCATCACCTCAGTTAATCCTGATCATGGCTCAGGGGATCACAGAGCACAGCGGTGTGAAAGCACAATCTAATTTACCCAGAGAGCAGCTTATGCCCATAGTCCTTTGCCGATTTATGTTTCTAGTTAACTCCACTCTTTTTACTGAACTGCATTTTCCCTGGCAGCTCCAGAATGGCTGTCAGTGAGCATTTTGGTGCCTTGGAAATCTCAGTACTCCTCTATTACTGGTTGTCAGATTGGCTTCAGTCAACAATGCACTATGACTCCTGGGTCTTCTCTTCATCTGTATTCTAAACGTTCTCCAGTCTCTTGAAGTAGGAGACTCAGCCCAGCACATGGCAAACAGTAGGCATTCAACATGTATTTGTTGAATAAATGAATTGGCTAAAGTGAGCATCTGACAAAAAACGTCTTTCACATGGAAAACTGCAGCTTTTACAAATTCCTGCCTTCATCCACCTTCCCTGAGCTTAAGACCGAGTGACGGGCTCCAAGGCACAGCTCTGAGGTGCCACAGAACACTGGCTACAGAAACATGAAACTCTGCATTCAAACTATTTCACTCAAACCAGTAGTAGGGGATAATCGAGATCTTTCAATTCTATCTCAAGGTTTTGGGTCATGTTCTTTTTTTTTTTTTTTAAGATTTTATTTATTCATTTGCGAGAGAGACAGAGAGAGAACAAGCAGGGGGAGAGGCAGAGGGAGAGGGAGAAGCAGACTCCCCGCTGAGCAAGGAGCCCCATGCGGGACTCGATCCTAGGACCCTGGGATCATGACCTGAGCCGAAGGCAGATGCCTAACCATCTGAGCCACCCAGGCGCCCTGGGTCATATTCTTAAAACATCTCATTCTAGGGCGCCTGGGTGGCTCAGTTGGTTGGGCGACTGCCTTCAGCTCAGGTCATGATCCTGGAGTCCCGGGATTGAGTCCCACATCGGGCTCCCTGCTCGGCAGGGAGTCTGCTTCTCCCTCTGACCCTCTTCCCTCTCATGCTCTCTATCTCTCATTCTCTGTCTCTCAAATAAATAAATAAAATCTTAAAAAAAAAAAAAACCATCTCATTATAAAGTGGGTAAAATTCCTTTCTCCACTAGACGGCCTGTTCACTCACAAAGTTAGGAGAGAAAATTAGTCAAGAAGAGATAGAGGTAGGGGCGCCTGGGTGGCTCAGTCGGTTGGGCATCTGACTCTTGATTTCAGCTGGGGTCCTGATCTCAGGGTTGTGAGATGGAGCCCTGGGCTCCGCCCTCCACAGGCAGTCGGCTTGGGATTCTCTTTCTCCCTCTCCCTCTGCCCCTCCCCCCACTCATGCACCCTCTTGCTCTCTAAAATAAATCAATCTTAAAAAAAAAAAAAAAGAAGAGATAGAAGTGTGATTCCTTAGAATCACTGGGATAGGAACACATCTCACTACAATTTACTATGGATGAAATTCAAATCAGGACAAGGAAATATGAGAGAAACAGAATATATGCAACATTAAAATTATTTCTATTTCTAAAGCTAATAACACAGCACAAGACTTGACTTCAGATACAACTCTTAGGTCCACTGGGGGTGTGATAGCAGCCTTAGAACCTGAGTACCCACAGTTTCTGGGCCTTTCTCCTCTTCTTTCTCCTTTTCTGTGCTACCCTCCGTCTGGGTCTCAACCTCAGAACGATCACTGGCTTTCTTTTCAAAACAGGAAACTCTGAAAAATACAGAATATGGAAAAGTTACTTTCTCTTTGGGTTCAAGAGGAATAACAATTGCAGAAGCACTAAAAAGAACACTGTCCAAAATTTGGATAAAGGATCAGGGGTTTCAAAATCTCTCTGCATTTGCTATATTATACATTAACCTTTTGGGGTTTAACTCTCATCCTAAAATTGGCTAGATGTGATTTAAGATATGAATTCATGCAGAGGTAAAAGGTGGGCATAAATCATCCCAAACACTGAAAAACACTGCCTCTTTTCATGTAATAGTAACACACAGAAATATTTTTAAAATCTGTGTGTGTGTGTACTCTAGTTAACTCCACTCTTTTTACTGAACTGCATTTTCCCTGGCAGCTCCAGAATGGCTGTCAGTGAGCTTTTTGGTGCCTTGGAAATCTCAGTA